AACAAGGTCCTAAGTTCAATCCCCAGTACCCCCCAAAAAAAGCCAAACAAACAAACTAGCCAAAATCTACCAGTCCCACTTTTAGGTGACCTAGAGTGAAGCTTGCTCACTATAATCTCATAATAATGCTAAATTCTGTGCCCCCAAGTGATTCTAGCCTGCCATTTTAATTTCATTTCATTTTATTTTATTTTCAGTACTAGGAATCGAACTCAAGACCTTGCACTTGCCAGGCAGGTGCAGTGCCACTGAACTATATCCCCAGTCGTGCTACTTTTAAGCATGTAATGCAGAAATGAGCATGATCCAGAAGTGTCCAGGCTCAGGAACATGCTCATCTCTATACGCAATGACAAATCTCCCCTGTATGAATATGCATCAATCTCACCAGTACAACTTCTATACTTCCTTTGTTCAGGGAGACACTGCTTTGGGAGTTGTCAAATGTTCTCCTTACTGGCTGTAAATAATTAACCTTTCTTCATTCTTTTATCTTCTGCCTGTGCTTATTAGCTTTGCATTCATCAAGGGGCAAACCCATTGTGTTAGGTTACAAATTTTGGCAACCCAGATGAACAGCCTTTCCTTTGAAATCTCATGGACCTTTGCCAACTTGGCTCCCAACAGAAGCAGTGGGCAACAACAGATCTCCTATTGCCAAGGGTGAGTCCCAGGTAGATAGAGGAAGCACCCTCCTGGTGCCTGACATGCCAGCCCTGAACTGCTGTCCCACCAAATGAACTGGGCGGCCACTCTGAAACCTTTTTTTAGAAGTTCCCTAGATGTGTGAGTAGGACTGGACCCTCAGGTTGTCTAACAGAGTCCCAGTAATAAAGTGGCAAAGGACCTAAGACAAAGCATGCAGGAAGGTCAACTAGAGGGCAGAGAGACTGTGACATCTCTGTCCTTGTTGAGAGATCCCAAGATATTTCCATCATGGCGCCTATCAATTAAAGGTTTGGAGGACGTAAGACTTCTCCACCCCAGCTGAAGGAGAGGATGGTGGGGGATGTCTGGCCACAGAAAGTCTCACTACAGAATATTTTTCAGATTTGCTAGAGGACAAAGGAAATCAAATCTTGGCGTTTGGAAGGAAGCACTGGCTTTTTGATATTCCAGAACCCCCAGCTGTGAAATTTTACATCTTCAATGTTCTGCAATGTTTTGGCAGGAGACCGACTGCAAGCATCGAGCATAGTTCTAGGACAAAGTGTTGTGGGCTTGGCATCCCAAGGAATGATTTTTATCAGCCCTTCCTTAGGTAGCTAGAGACAAATTTTTAACAGATCTTTAGTATAGGCAACAAGGTCCATACCCTAGGAGAGCACACTGGGGTGTCTCTTTCATCACTGGCAGACATTTGATTGTTTGTCAATTACTGAGAAACACATGGCCATTCTCTATGACACGTAAGGGGAACAATATGATCTGGGAAACCAAGACAAATACAACGTGGGTCCCTAAATTATAATACTATTCTGCAACTGGATCTATTCTGCAACAGGGAAGTGAAATGGGACAAAATTCCCTATGCACAGTGCGTTATGGCCTTATATCAGAATAAGGGAAAGGGTAAACCTTTTACCAAGAAAGGAAAACCCCTTCTGCTGTTTGAAAATCTTCTGGATGACAACCTGCTTTGTCTTCTTCTGAGTCCAGAAGAAAGGTGTTTTGCAGGCCCCAGCTCAGATCACTGCCGAGCAGGTAGATGAGCCTCCTCCTACGCCCCTGAGCCCGGGCCCCTCTTCTGGGAGCCCTCTCCCAGGGCCTCTGTACCTAGACTGTCTTCTAAACCTGCATTTTCTCCTCTTCATTACAGCTTCACCTGACACAAGATGAATCCCTAAGTGGGCAGTAGAGATTTTCTCCTCCAACTAGTTCCATATATACAGACAGAGATCTTGTTAATGTACGTATGTCTTTCACCTCCTCTGAGTTGAACAACTGGAAGGCACAGAGCTAAGGGCTGAGGTTGACCCAGGAGGATTTACCACCCTAGGAGCCGTATCTTTACAACTCATAAATATATGTGGGAAGATTCACAAACTCTTCTATTTGCCCTACTGACTAGAGAAGAAAAACCAGCTGTGCTGGCAAAAGCCAAAAGAGGAAGTTGATAGGCAGCATGCTAATCATCCTGACAACCAGGTTTGGCTGCCTGCTAAACAGTCAGACCCAGGAAGCCCTCCTGATGGGGACTCTAACACAGCTGCAGGGTGAGCCACATCCAAGCATTCCAGAGATATGCCAGAAGCCAGCAAACTCGCAGTTACTGGAGCAAACAGAGGAATTCAGCAGATGCTAGATGAAAATCATTTGGCCTTCATGCAGAGATTGAAGGAATGTTTCCAAGGATACAGCCCTTGGGATTCTGAAGGGAACCTCAGCCAGATAGTCCTGGGAACCTACTTCACAGCTTACACTGCTCCTGATATCCACAGAAATCTCCAAATCTTGACTGTAGGCTCAGAAACTAGCTTTTTTCGACTGGTGGAGTTTGCCTGCAAGGTTTTCAAGAATAGAGATATGGCTGAAGAGGAAAAAGATAAGAAGATGAGGAAGCAGACTGCCTGTTGGCAGTAATTTCCAGCCTATTCCGGGTAATACGAGAGGTAGAAAGAAGACACCATGGTAAGGGCCCTTGGCCCCAAAGAGGTACGCATTGACAACCACCAAAGCTGGTACTGACCAGTGTACATTTTGCAAGCGAGAGGGACATTGAGAGAGGAATGCCCAAATCACCTCCCAAGAGGGAAAATAGGGGACAAACACAACTCCATCAGCTTCCCCTTGAAGATTCTCGGGGTCAAGGGCCTCCCCATTGTGCTCCCTTTAATTAACACAGCCTAGATTTCTTCTGAGGAGCCCTGGGTTACCTTAGATATAGATGAAGAGGAAGTTAAGTTTCTACTTTATACTGAACCACAGACTCTGTGTTGATCCCTAAAAAGGGAATATACCACAAGAGAGGTATAAGGAAGGGTAGAAACCAAATGGTTCCCTGTGAAGTGGGTTCACATGTTGTAAAGCACTCATTTCTACATGTTCTTGAGTGCCCCGTTCCCTTTTTAGAAACAGACCTGTTCGCCACATGAGAGGAAATCATTAATCTTCAACAGGATGGAATGGAAATACAGGTTCCTAAGAATGGGCTCATGGATCTGCTGCATGAAATACCAACAGCCCCCAAACTGCCACTGAAAATGTCCTGGCTCAAGTCTAATTGAGGTTTAGGCTCAAAAACAATGGGATCAGCCATCAGCACCAAATGTGTAAACATTACCTTAAAAAATTAATATCTGGCCTTGAGTAAAACAATATTCCCTAAAACCTGAGGCCATGGCTAGAATCAAACCTTGCTTGACCGGCTTCTCAAGCAGGGTTTAGTAAGACCCTGTAGGTCACCCTGTAATAGTCCCATGCTGTCAGTTAAGAAACCAGGGATGGAAGAATGTAAGTTTGTGCAGGATTTACAGGCAATAAAAAAGCTGTGCAAGAAATCTCTACCTCACCATCTAACTTTCTTGGGCTTAGTAAGTACTATATGGTTCTGGTTTTAAAGGACACTTTCTTTTGGATTCTGCTGGACTCAGGGTCTCAGGAATTGCTTGCCTTCAAATGGGAGGACCCAAAGACATAAGAAAACAACAACATTGTTAACCCATACTTCCTCTGGATTCAAAAACTCCACCATGATGTTTGGAGAAATCCACAGCAGGCACTTGAAAAAATAAGCCTGAAAAGTGGGGCTTCACTATAGTTTGTTGTAATAAGCCCACCTAAGGAGACTTACAATAAAAAAAAGTAGTCTTTACAATTCTTGGTGAAATGTTGCAAGCCCTCTAAGGAAAAGAAGCAGTAAAATATCTGGGTTTTATAATACCTTGAGGATAAAACACCCTTCCCCCAAAAAAGTTAAACTGGCTTCCCCTAGTCAGACCTTCCAAAAACCTTGAAGCAGTTTCGAGGATGCCTACTTATGGCCGGCTTCTGCCATATTTGGATCCCTGATTTCAAGTCAGTTGCAAAACCCCTCTTTGACAAACTCCAGAGAAAGAGACCAATTTCCTTAAGTTGAGCAGACAGTATCCCCAAGCCTTTAATACGCTCAAGGGAGCAGCTGATGAGTGTCCTTGCTCTAGGTCTGCTGGGCCTAAATAAGTTATTTGGTTGTATGTGCACAAAAGGCAAGAGATTGATGCTGGTGTATTGACTTGGATGTTGGGCCCCCTAAGAAGGATGCTGGCCTATTTCTTTAAACAATTAGACACTGTGTCTTGGGAATGGTCCCCATGCTTAGAGACCATCACTACAACCTGTCTGTTAATTAATGAGGCAGAAAATCTAACTATGGGGGAGCCCATGACAGCCTGGACTCTACATCAGGACTCCAGTGTTCTGGAGACCAAAAGTCATCACTGGAAACAGGATGGACGCTACAGTACCAGGTTTTGTTGCTGGACCCCATACTCACATACTCTAAAACTTGCCAGATAGCTGACCCAGCCACTTTGAGCTTGTATCACAAGAAACATGAGTATATGACTGCTTGGAACCAATAGACCAGATGTACTTCAGCAGAAAATATCCTTAATATGAGCCCCTGCCAAATGCTAAAGCATGGTTTGGAGACAGGAACAATTTAACAGTCAGCATCAGGCTGACTGTTTGCTGCGGTCTGTCTCCATGGGAATCACTGAGGCAAAGTTCCTCTCCCAGAACTACAGCTCAGAAGACTGAAATAATAGTCCTAATGTAGCCACTGAAATTAGGAAAGGGGAGGACATTCACCATATACACAGATTCCAGCTATATCTTCTCAGTGATTCATGCTCATGCGCCCTAAGACTTGGGGCAATCTGTAAAGAGAGAGGCCTCCTCAGTGGTGACAACAAAGAAATGGAATATGGAAAGTAGATTCTCAACCACTCCAGGCAGTAAATGACCATAAGAAAGTAGCTGTTGGACATGGCACAAGGCATCAGAGAAGAGACTTTCAATGGAAGGCTCAAGCTTGGCACCATGGTATGGAAAGTCTTTCGGAAGATGAACTAGCTCTAGAATGTACCCTGATGTAGAGGTTGAACTGGTGATAAACACTTATCAAACTAGGCCAGTAGTGTCTGCCCTCAATAAGTTTGTAAACCTAAATCTTTCATCTCCTACAAGATTAAACCCTACCCCTATGAATCAGGGGTCTGGTATATTTAATAATCTGGAAGTCAGGGTCTCCTCAGAACCAGGGTAAATCAATTTGGACAAGGCCTTATGTAATCTTACTAATTACTCATTCCTCTCTTAAATTACAAAGTATCACTCCTCGGATTCATCATTTTAAAGGGACCCAGGCACCTAAGACCTAGGTGAGCCCAGAAATATTCACTTCTTGGAACCCGTACTGGTACTCACAGGGAAACTAAAGAAGACCAAATAGGTAAGTAGAGCTGAGCAGTAAATGACTCTTGCCCTACTCCCCTGGTTGGTCTGTTCACCTGCATAGTTTGATCTTCTTCCTGCTTACACCCTTTTGTATCTTGCCAGAAGGTTGGGATCCTTTCCAGTTTATCTGTATTATAGCCAATGAGACTTGCATACTGCCATAGGTAGGTTAAACAAGGTTATAATACTTACTTTTGCATACATGGCTTTTAGCGCAAGTGTCTCTTTATTCTACCGTGGTTTTCCAGCCAACACTACAGCTATTCTTCAAAGTAAGGACAAAACTCCCAATATTTCTTGATTTCTCTCTCTAGTAGGGTAACCTCTCTAATTAGCCATGCTGTTACTCTTGCTTTGAGGGCCTTACCTCTTTAACTTCTTAGCTAAGTTCATTTGTTCTTGACTGGAGCCGTTCAAGACAATAGTCACCACTTACAGATGGGCCCTGAAAATCCCAAGACCTAACTTGCTTCAGCACCAAGAGAGTTTTGTGTCTCTAGCTCAGGAGGATGAAACGGCACCTGTAAATAAGGGAAGGGAGATTAAGGAAGGGGAGGGGCCTGAGGAAAAAAGAAGAATCAAGATATACTATGTACAGGTACAAATTCCCTATGATGAATGTGATCAGTATGTATACCTAAAGTGTGCCAATAAACTTAATTTTAACAAAAAAGAAGCCTGATCTCATATTGCATGTTTGTGAGAATATGCCTGCCTCTAGATATGGTATGACAATTTTCTTCATTATGAATGTATATAAATATTCTCAAGAAATCCTAGTTCTTTGAGGTATCTCCATATTGATCTCCACAGTGGTTGCACCAGTCTGCACTCCCACCAACAATGGAGAAGGGTTCCTTTCTCCTCACAGCCCCACCAGCATTTGTTATTGGTTGATTTCTTGATAGCAGTCATTCTTTCTGGGATGAGATAGAATCTCAGTGTTGTTTTTTTTTGCATCTCTCAAATGACCAGTGATGTTGAACATTTTTTCATATATTTATTTGCTGCTTTTACTTCTTTGTCTGAGAAATGTCCGTTCATTTCAGATGCCCATTTTTGAATTGGGTCTTTATATTTGGGGGGGTCTGATTTTTTTAAAGTTCTTTATATATTCTAGATAGTAGTCCTTTGTCTGAGGAACAGGTCCTGATGGCTTCACTGCTGAATTCTACAAGACATTTAGAGAAGAACTATTGCCACTACACTTTAAACTCTGCAAAATCAAATACATCCTCTTGTGTCCAGAACTGGTATTGGCTTCACAGCCATTTCTCCAGGCACTGGCTGTGTTAGAAGCCACCCATTGTTTGCCCTCCCCATAGTGTGCTTGTGGCCAAACAGCAGAGACTTGTCTGACTGTGTTCTTAGCGAGCCTCCCGAGGGCTGGGAAGCATCTCTGTCTAACTCCTAAAACCATTTCAGCCTCTTCCAGCTTGGAAGTTTGGTCCAATTCACTCCCGTCCAAAAAGTAGGAAAGCTTTCTTGTCATCAGTCCCTACTTCTTACTACCCCAGGATTTGCCTCTTCCCATGACAATGACAGTGATGATATCCATTCACTTTACTGGATTCCAATTCTTACCATAGGGTGCAGTCTGAGCCCTGTGACCCCAACCACTGGGCTGACATCGAGGTTCAGCATAGCTACACAATACCTAAAGTCTCCAGGGAAAAATCTGTTTCTTACCTCTTCTAATTTCTTGAGGCTGCAAGCACTCCTTGGCTAGCAGCCTCATCACGCCATTCTCTTCTTCCACAGGCATACTGCTTTCCTCCCTC